CGGGAAGGTCAAGTCTAAGGAAATACCGACCTTGTAGACATCACCGTAGGTCCCACTGCCTATCCTCTGTATAAGTTCATACTCATCCTGGGGATTTCTACGGCTTATGTCACTGGACAGCGCATTTGCGTTTACCGCAGCCATCGCAAGTGACGAGGACGTATCGAAAGAGAGAAAAAAAAGGAAAGAACAATAGGATACTCAGGGCCACGTATCGTGGTCTCAGCGTCCGCGAACCGATACGCGTTTACGTGCAACCGCGTCTAAGCAGCGTAGCGGGAACATTTAGCCTGTCGGAACGTCACATCGTTCGTCGAAACGTCGCCATTGTCCGCAACAGCTGAACCAACCGCTCGTTAACGCGTGCGCGCTAGCGGTCAATTGGAGTACTACACGTTTGCCGAATTCATTTATGAGGTTTGTTCGCGTTGCAAGCTCCACCATGTTTCAACATTCTCCTACCATAGCTCCTACTCACTTCTATCAAGCGCGTTGGAGTGAGTAGGAGCTATGGTAGGAGCATATTGGAACATGTTGGAGCATGCAACGCGAACAAACCTCTTTATACAGGCAACTTTGATTAATTCGAAATTATTATTAATAGGTGTTTTCTTTAGCTTCTTTCTTGCACTGTCCATTTCTTTTCTCTCTTTTTATAGGATGCATCCAGAAGCATCATCGCTCACTGAGCGCTCAGTGAGCTCTTGTACCAGTTTGGTCTATGTTTTTAGATCTAATGGAATATGCCAATCAGATGCAAGAGCTCACTGAGCGTCTAGTATAAGCTGGAAGAAGTTCCAGTGTCCAATAGGCACTACTGTTTCTGCGCATGCTCTAACTGAATACAAGACATTACAAGAAGTTTGCGACATTCGCGGCAATTCGCGGTGTTTACATGAATATTATAAATAAATTATTTATCGCGTGTGATATATTTATATTTATTTACTCGACAAGAAATGGCGTTTACGTTAGGAAGTCCAGCGGTCACCTCTGCTAGCACGGGTTTTGGATTTGCGGCGCAAAAGTAAACTATAGTCGATGTTAACCTCCAAACAATAAAAATTTATTATAGCTTTAATAAATAACAACATGAAGTTCAAGTATCTTTTTTTATTTAATACGTATTTATTGTGAATTGAAAAACTATAAAATTATTTTCTGCAAAGGGGAGGAAAACTTGATGTTTAATTGTAAACTGTTGTTCTTGTTGTTTAGGCCAGCAACAGGCTTCGGTTTGGGCAACACGTTCGGCACTCCAACCACAACGTCTGGCACATTAACGTTTGGCGCCTTGGCTACTCCAACGACTTCTATAGGTCTCAATTTCGGATTTGGTACTCCAGCAACCTCTACACCAGCACAATGCAGTAATCTCCTTTTAGGATCCAACACAGCTACTACAATGACTACTGCTCCTAGTTTATTTCCTACCCCTACAACATCCACACCCTTATTCACGGGTCTCAGCTTTGGTACACCAGCTACAACAAACACTCTAACATTTGGCACCCCATCTAATACAACAGCAACAGGAAGTTTAACTTTTGGTACAGCTACTACCAACAGTATGTATACTTTATTATTCTTATTTATATATTAAACTGTATTCTCCATCTTGTGATTACTGTGTAATACAGTTATAGTATTGATTTTTTGACACTGATACGTTGTAGCTGTTATTGGCATTTTGATTGGTTTATGGTCCATTCTTAAAGCCAGTAAAATATATGTCGTTGTTAATAAACTATTATTCTAAAGCCAGTGGCACATGATGCTTGTTTTCCTGCTGGATTTCTAGCTGGATTAAAATCTTGCCATTGTATTGGCTATGATGCTGACACTATCAGTATCGCAGCCAATACGATGGCAAGATTCTAATCCAGCTAGGAATCCAGTAGGAAAACAAGCATCTTGTGCAGGCTTAATATAAAGTTCATTATTATGATCGATTATCACAAATTATATGCAGCTCCCTTATTTGGATCTGGAACTGGAAGCACTTTATTGGGTTCAAAGCCGACTGTTCTTACTACTACTACTACTAGTAAAGGACTTGGTGGTTTAGATGTTTCTGTTAATAATAAGGGTCTTTCTCAAGGAAATAGTAGTTCAACAGCAGCTAAGGAGAATCTATTGCCAAATGAGCTTATGCAAACTATAGACAAATTCAAGTAATTATGAATAAAATGAATCCTATAGAAAATAATTGACTTGTATATAGACATATAAATTATGTACAAGATGTACACGTAGTACAATAGCATATACTTTACAGGGAATTTGTAAAAATGCAAAAAGGCCTATCTTCTGATATTGCAAGAGGTTCGGCGAGACCATTAAATCGATGTGCGGAAGATACAGCGTCCCTAATGGAAATCTTATCCGTATTATCTGGATCAGTGCAACGAGATCGTTCTTCAGCTGATAAGCTGAAGCAGGACACTGCGAAAGCGTTGCAGAGCTCTGAAATAGCTCAAAGAACACACGATACTCCAGCCGGCTTGCAATATGAAAATAATATGCCCCTACAGTTCTTCATGGAATTAGCTGAAAGCTTCGAACAAGATTTGATGTTGTTTAGATCACAAATTGAGACAACCGAGAAACACATACAAACCATGATGGCGCCAAGAACTTTAACGCCGCAAGGTACAATTTGTTCTTTCATTGAATTTATTTGGATTAATGAGGAATATTGTTAATGGTATATTGCTTTGTCGTTAGAATTGACAGCGACCATGAGTAAACTTCATGAGTCTTTAGTCGCAGTAGCTGGCCGACTACAGAGTGTACATGCTAAAGTACAACAGCAGAAGGAACAGTATCTCAATTTCAGGAAATACTTGCTGAAAGATAACACTAATGTTTTCGACATTATCAAGGTGAACAGTAAATCTAATCGAAGCAGCATTGGTAAAATCACGAGTGGTCCCACTCCTTTTGGACCAGGTAATTTTACGTGTATTTCAAATTGTATCAATTTCGAATATTGTAGATTTTGAAAAACGAGGTTAATGCTTACAGGAAATAAAAACTTTTTGTCATCGACAACATTAAACTCAAATCGGCCAGCGAGTTATGAAACACGAAACCCTTTAGGTAAATAAGCCTTACTGTTGACCATTTTGTAATTTAATTATCCTTACGCTAAGTAAACGATTCCTTTAAAAAAAAAGATGATTTTAACCGTCCCCTAAAGATTTCCTACCTTCAGGTCTTGCCTGGATCTAGTTATGAGGTAGAACTTACTAACATATAACGACGTTTATTATTAAATAGAATTAACGTGTATAATTATTTAGCCTGTCTACTTTTTCTTCTTTTCTTCCTTATTATTTAACGAAAGATACAGTTGTCTTTTGTTTTTATCTTATTTGATTTTGATTTTGCCTTTCAGGAAAAAAAATAGGGGCTGTAATTTAATTATTGAGGTATTCATTTTTTTTAATTTCAGTTTCTCTTTGTTATTGTCGCGATGGAAAAAGGGTAACGCGCTTCTTTGCCTGTATATAAATCTCTTGTCAAGTAACTAATTAATTTATATAGATAATTATGTCAATATTGTTAATCTTTTATATACTTTGCATTGAGATGCTATCGAAAGATTCAATATCAAAATCATGCTTTCTTAACAGATGACAATGCCTTCTATAAGTGTGCTTTGAGTGCTTTCGGCTTTACCAATGTTATGCAGTAATGCTTGCAAATATGGATACTATTCAAAAAATATTGTCGCGTTCGTCACGGAGTCTAACAAAATTTTGCAGGATATATGTAGAGATATTAAAATACACATTCCTTTGCATTTTTCAACCGATTTTAAAGTGGAAATTTAAGGATTAAAAAAACCGTAACATAAATGTATAAATACAAATATTTTTATGGTGATGATGTAATAAGAATGTCAATTAATATAAAAACATCAATTATATATTTAACAATAAGTGATATTAACATGATAAAATTGGTTAATATTATATTTCGAAATATATCTCAAAAATATGTGAACGCTGTCTTATCTTTTTAATGGTAAAAGAGATATTACTCCGTGGCTTCAGCTATTACACATGTTTTCTTTTACAGTCCTTCCAAGAGAATTAAAAGTAACAATGTTAATATGTATATTGTTACAGTTTGGGAAAGTTCAACGCCAGTACCATCTACTACTAATATTGCTATAGGCTCATCTACGAAACCGCCAACAGCAAGTTTAAATTTTAACGCACCAATTAATTTGACTTCACCATTGCCAGTAAACGGAACCAGCTCAAACTTTCAACTTCAAAAGCCTCCCATTGGTAATAAACGAGGGAAACATTGATCATTCGTTTCGAACCATTTTTTGTAACACAAATTGTTATCTTCAACACACGTTGTAAAGTCTCCTCTACCAGATTGTTAACGTTAATGACCGTGTTAAAGCAAAAGTATTTTTATATCGATCATTATTAATCATTGTGATATTCTTATCTTCTTTTACATGTGTTGTCGATATATACATAGCATAATCTTTATTGGAATTTGTACCTTATGTTACAGATATTCCGTATCTTACACATCAACCATACTTTTATATTATTAAATATCTAAAGTTAAATTATTTTGTAATAATATATATATATGTGCATTACTGGTGCACAGATGCATTAAAACAATTTTCTACTGAAACCTGTCTAATGGATCCCAATGTATATGTGTACATGTATTGTCATATGTATATATCTGTAACTATCTTATGTTTGATGACAACGCGAAATACTGCAAGTCAATAATGACAAATAATACATTCAGTTAAGAGATCTAAATAATATATTGTTAATGGAATTAATAACAAATATTGGTCCCTTTCTCAAATATAGATACTGTTTGAAAGATAAAATGGACAATGTTTATGAAACGAGAGTAACATTATGCTTTATGCCTATTGGCAATTGTATTTAATCTAGACGATACTGTTAAATATAAAGTATAAAAGTATTTTTTAAATATATTTCATAATTATTCATTAGATTGCACCAACTTGTAGAATAGGAATAAGAAGTCTAAAGGCATCTTGAATATATGAATTTGCATTTGCAGCCTGTGTGAAAAAAAAGTTTTTAATATTACGATCATCATGTTACTTGAATTATTCAACAAAGTACTTACTTCTAAGAAAATCGTTGTTATGTTCGCATTGATGTTATCTGGTTTTTTCGTAATCTCGGCAAATTGATGTAACGTATCGCAAAATGAATTGGCCAGTAAGCTAATCTGATTGGATAGAACATTGGTAAGTTGTACCAAGGCATCTGCTTCGTTCACTGTACTGCGACGTTCTTTGATTAACAACAATTCTGCTGTCTTATGAAATCTCTCTACGGAGAGTGCTGTAAACTGTGCCAATGTCGATATAGCATTCTGAAAGATCTCCTGATCTGTATACGTCGTGGATGACGCAAGATAATTTTCCGTTTCTGTCCAAATCTGAAAATACAGAATTGTTTTTGTCATGATGATAAACGGAATTCTTTTGATTTTGATAGGGATATATTTTCTTACATCATATAATTTTTCATAAGTAATATCAACACTAAGATCGTGACGAGCGTTCTTTAATCTGCTTTTCAAATCTTTATCATCTTTATTCTCATCGTCATCTTCATCACCTAGATCACAAAGTTCCTTGATTTCTTCTAATGTTTCTTGCACAGATGTTAAGTCGTTTGTATCCAACTCGATTAAATATTGTTGAATTTTCATATTGCTCTGTTTTGATAACATTTCCAGAGCTTCTAAGTGAACGAGTCCCTGATAATCATCGAACAGACTCTCGAAATGCACCTTTCTTGCTAATTCGCGTTCCTCGATCGTTTTCTTTTCAGTTTCGGCTTTTTCCTTCGCTTCTCTGAGAATTTGCGATAAGTTTGGTTTCTCCGGCTCATTCATGAAAAAGGACCTTTTTTTCTTTAATCCTGGATCACCCTCTTGCAATACCTCCATTGTTTTCTTTCCGATAGCCTCCAATGTATCTAAACCACCCGTCATAACTTTGCTACCGGTGGATTCAACCAATTTTGTAATTGAAGACACTCCTGATATCAAATTCCCAAATCCGAACGAACTGAACGATCGATTTTCTTGTTCCTGGGTCTCTGGCTGTGCACCTAGTAACACAAATTAGCAGATATAATTAGCAGTATATATTAACTGTTTATTTTTGTATGATTAATATATTCAGTGCAAAATTATAAATATATAAAAATAAGAAAAAATTATATACATGTTATTAAACATATATATAAAAATCATAGTGCTATATAGAATTTATACTAAATATTATACCATCAGTTTCAGGAACTGTATTTTGCTTTATCCTTTCCAATTCTGTAGGATCCTGTACTATTGTACCTTCCAAAAGTGTAAGTCCTTGAGACACATGACTAGTCAGAGTAGATACACTTGCAGAAGCTGTATTGATTAACGAAGTTACACCCCAATTTCCCCAACTGCCCCAGCTTCCTAAAGAACTTTCGTCTTTGTCCTCTTCTTTGTTTGCCAAGGAGAGCCTCTGTAACATAGGCTGCAATTTCTCTTCTGTCAATTCATCAGGCAACTCGACGTCATCTCCAAGTCCTTCCCAACCTTCAGGCTGAAAAACTTCTTTAAATTTTTTATTCGACTTTAATTCTTCTGGCATGTCTATTTCTGACAAATCATTTGATGGTCTAAATTGATTACCTGTTACTTGAGTTTTTGATTTTTCTTCTGATTTACATTCTGTATTTTTGCTCACAAACAGTAAGGATTTCTCATTTGAACACTTGGCTGAATCTTCTAGTTCCATAGCTATACTGACGTAAGGCTCATCGACCTTGTCCTTTGTAAGTCTAGTTCCTAATTTTTTTGTATCCAATTGGCGAGTAGTACTTTGTTGTTGCTTTATTTGAAAACTTTTCTTGTTATCCAACTTGGTTTTTGTAGCTTCTACTTCAGACATGACATCTGATTCCAAGATCTTATTACTCTCTACCACAGATTCTTTGTCCTTTACTGATATCGCAGAGATTGATGAAGATTTTCTTGACTCAAAGGGGGACGTAGTCTCTCGTTCGTTAGAAGCCTTTTCTACACAACCAATCGACTTGGCAGTACATGCATTACTTTCAACTTTGACATTACTATCTATCTTATCATCCTTATTATCGACCAAAGTCTTTCGACCAGTCAACACATCTGGCGTCATTCGGAAAGTCTCAGATCTGCTCTGCCAGTTGGTGATATCGCAAGGCGCGTGTTGAACATATTCAGTATCATCGTCTGACTCGGAGTCAACCGTCGTTCGGTAGACTGGCGCCCGGATGTTTCTCTTAACGAACATCCCACGGCCCAATTCCTCGTCGGCGCTTTCAAAGTCGGCATCGCTTTCGGACGTCGCCATCTCTTCGTTTAATGGGACTGTCCCTGGAAAAGATGAGAAATCCTGTGTACACGCTCGGCAGATTTTGACGCCTAAGTATCTTATCGCGAATCGAAGAATTCAACTTTTTCAGCGTCGAGGCGTAAGCCAGCGTAAGCTTGCCGTCAACATATGCTCCACATCATATTCCGTACACGCACACACGTATGTGCGTGTGCGTGTGTTTATATACGTTGACGGTCACGTGGACGACGGAGTCATCGGACAAGCACGCTAAATTCGCAATCATTCGCAATACGCCTTCGTGGCGTTCACGGCGACGATTGCGCATGCGAGACGATCTCGCCTGCTCCAGGTTTCGGTCCAGGGCAGTCCGTTGCACTCCGTCGAAGCCCCGTAAGTTAAATGTTAGCTCTGCACTTCTCTTGTGCGCGTGGCAGTCGAAACGTAAGCGGCGTGTATGTGTTGGAGAAAGAGAGGAGAGGAGAGGAGAGGAGAGAGAGAGAGAGAGAGAGAGAGAGTGACGAGTGTAAAAGGTGCAATGAACGATCACATCGTTCAAAAATATATGACACGTTTTTTTTCAGCAGAGGAAGGGAGCAGATTTCCACGGTTATTACAATCTGTCAACAGAGATGATTAAAAGATGTTTTATTTTTCTTTTAAAAGATTTTCTGGATGCCCTGTTCCCGCGGCTAATGTTCGTTTCTACCTTCTAATTAATGTAGACTAACTTTAATCTCAGTTCAATTTAATAACAATCGTATTAATGATATCGTTACATTAGTCATTGCGCAGGTTTTGTATATAATTGACCATATTTTCTTAATGAAAATAAAGGACAAATTTGAAAATTTTAGGGCTTTGTCCCTACATATTTTTGAACTAATTCGTGATTATCAAAAATTTGTGCATTATAACATTTTATTGCACAGTATAATCACCGACGAGATATTATTAAAGACATCCTTATGGGAGTTCGCATCCTTGTTAATATTGAAGTGATTAAGAGTAAAAAAAAACTGATAATATTGTACTAATTTTATGATTTATTAGTTTAGTAGACGTGTTTATCGGTGTACGTGCATTTAAAACTCAATAATACTCGATTTTTCTTTAAAATTGTGATTTCAGTGTTATCGTCAAAGTTCGATTATCAACAGAGATAATAACTGTAGAGAAAAAAATTGTAATTTTTCGGCAATATATAGGATGTTATAGCTTTACAAATATGCATATTTATTTATAGAGCATTTATGTAATAAAATATCATGAATTTAATAATGTATTAGTCAAATATTTATGTTAATAATAGCAAATTTATATCAATTGTCGATAATGTTAGCGTTCTTCGATTACCTCCGAGTCCTTGGGGCCCTTTTTATACCGCCGAAAATTTGCCCACGGTTGACGGTCTTTAATAGTATCTCGTCGGTGGTATAATTATTTAAATAGAGATATAATACGCAGTTTTCTGATAATTTTTGAAACTGGTTCAACTGTATTAGAACAAATCTTTAATCTGAAATATTAAAAGGTTCGTAATAATAAAAAATGAAAACAACTTTAGTTTGAATAAATTTAATTTAAAAAATTAAGAAATATAATTAACAAAAACAAATTGTACTTATAATATAATAAAAAAACTACGCAACGATAATATAACGATATCGTTACTGTCGTTAATGACCATTCTACAATAAGCCATTACTTAGTCATAAATCAGAAGTTAGAAGCTGGAAATTGACCAATCACTGTCGTCAATTTCCAGCTTCTAATTTCTGATTTATGACTAATAGCCAGTGTTGGAACAGATACCGTTTGAAAGATATCTAGATATAGATATAGATATTGTATGGGAAAAGTATTTAGATATAAGTATAGATACATTTTTTACAATTACCTAAGTATAGATACAGATATAAATAAAAAGTATCTGAAAATTTAGATATTTTTTAGGTACTTTCAACAAAAAAAACAGGAAAAATGGGGGAAAAGAGGAAAAATAGAAGTAATAAGCAACGTAAATTAAATATCACATTTTATTTGTTTATTTTAACAAAATCCAGACTATAACATTAAAATCGGTTTCATTAATAGTTTTAAATAAAAATCGAGTATTATTTAGTTTTACATGCATATGCATATCTACAAAACTGATAAATCATAAAATTAATTCTACTCATTATCAATTTCTTACTCTTGATTACATGGTAAATTTTTAGTTTTAATGAACAGCTTTAATAAGAATATCGGTCTTTAATTAGTATATCAGCGCATAGGTACTAATACTAGATTGTGCTAATTTCTGAGTTGATTTAGTATGCTTTTCAACAAGCGACACAGATGACACGATATGAGGCACAGTGTACCATCATTGCATCCTTGTTGTTCGTCAATGTTAAACAAGAATGAGGTGATCACTGTGTTATACTGGCTGCGTTCCGTTTTACGCATGATGTGCATGATGCATCATTTATCCTTGTTTAATATTCGGTGAATAACAAGGATAAAAGATGCATTATGCGCATCATGCGTGAAACGGAACGCAGCCACTGTGTCACTTGTAGGAAGGCACTCTTAATGCGGCACATTTGTATATAAATACCTTGTATCTATGTATCTAAAACTTAAAAGATACCGTATCAAAAAATAACTATTAATAGATACGGATATAGATATCTCCGCCTATAAGGATCTAGGTAATGCACTTAGGTACAACTAAAATATCTAGATACTGTATCTAGATACTTTTACCTAGATACTTTTCAACACTGCTAATGGCACAGTATAACCTGTGGTAATACGTCTACTTTTCAACTCGAGATGATAAATTGATACTTGTTTCGTATAATCGTGCTACATTCACAAATTGTGGATTAAAAATATTAATCTCTGCAATCTTACATGCACGTGTGACGTTTATTTCGCTTAAAAGTATTAACATTACGGTTATATTATATTTTTACAAATGTGTTAATATTTATATTTTAAATAAGCTACATACATATGAATTAAGTTGTATTTCAAGCATTTTATTTTTATTAGACACATTTTTGTTTACTTTATTAGCGCAGCGGTACTTCGTGCGCGAGACGGAAAATCATATGAAGTCCGGGCTCTAGTTATAATTATTTGGTCTTAAAAAAATCTGAAAAAATTCATGAGAGAAACATCTGTTAACATTATAGTTGATGATTTCATAACTACTTTGATAAACATTGTTTATTAAATATTTTATTTTTAATGATTTTGATGACTTTGAATAAAAATAAAAGAAAAAGTTAGTTTTTTCTTGTCTCTTTAAATGTTTGTAACTTTTTTCAATACAAAAGAGGAAAAAATCCTTTTAAAGTTGCTCACTTCAAAATAAAGGATTGAAGAAAAAAAAATAGTGCAAATTGATATCTGCAAAAAAGTTTAATGGACATGTCGATCTGACACATCTGTACGAAATTTTATTTGCTCGACATTTAGTAATTTACTGTTTTTCGGAATGTTCCTTTTACGACTTATTTTTAATAACAAGCTTTGCAACCAAAATACAGAATAATATTCTTTTTTGCATTCTAAAGTTAATATATACAAATTTACCACTATTGCGTATCCATAAATTCAGTCTCTCGTCCGTTTGTAATGGAAATCTATATAAATGTTTTCTATGAAAGAATTTTCCATTTGTATTTTATATACACATTTATCATAGAAACTATCTATACGGCACTGATTCGACATTATTGCTTATTGTCTTTTATTTAATGTTTTATTACTATCATTTTACAATCACACAAGTAATAATCGAAATCTATAAATTTATACTCTATTTTTTACACCAAATAAAACAATAAATCTGGATCCTAGATATCTGAAAAAAATTCTTCTATCTATACAATACCAAATCAAATATAATAAAACTAGCGTTAGAAACAATACGATTACGTTAAAATACAATTAACGAAATCGTATTTAAATAACAATCTGTGAAATACTTATCTTGTGAGCTCACTAGAACGAAAAGATACTTTTCACGATCGAATAAGTCACTCGAATAAAATAAAACATGTTTCCTGGCTTCGCGAGTCCCATCAGTTTATCTCGTATATGTAAGGCTGTGTTCGCTTTGACGTTCACAACACTTTAAGCGTCGTTTCATCCTTGTTGTTTAGTAAATATTAAACAAGGACAATTGATGCTCACAAGCGCTGTGAGCGGTAAAGCGAACGCAACCCTAATGGAATGAGAAAAGACAGACATAACCCTTATTGTCTCGCGGAGCCGCGGCTTTTTTTGATCATTTTTTCTGATAGTTTTTCTCGATATTACATTTAGCGCCAATAAATTTATATAAGTGTAGACTTGTATAGGTGTAATGTCACATGGAGTGTGTCACCGGCGTTCAATGTGCTAAGAGAAAGTAGTGGAATGAGAAAAGACAGATATAAGCCGCCGCACCGTCGCGTCGCCTTATTATCTCGTGGCTCTTTTTGATCATTTTTTCTGGTAGTTTTTCTCGATATTACATTGAGCGCCGACCAATTTTTATAGGTGTAGACTTGTATAGGTGTAATGTCACATGGTATGTGTGTCACCGGCGTTCAATATGTGTTAAGAGAGAGTTAAAGGTCTACTTTAAAAAAAAACCTAACGCGCCATCAGTGAAACCTCCTGAGTGATGTGGAAATTCGCTGTACTATTTCACATCTTTATCACTACGCAATACCAGAAAACGGAAATTGCATAGTAATAAATCTGATACACGGAAAGAACGATTTTGCTTAATACAAAAATAATTTTATTGGATCATAAAAATAATTTGAAAAGTCAAAGTGGTTGCTAGAATATCAAAATGTTTTGCTTTGCTCATCACTTTTAAGTTTTCAACAAAATTATTTTCAGATCTGTATTCAACAAAATTAGTGGCTTCTTTCAGCAAAATCGTTCTTTCCGCGTGTAACAATTGAGATTTTTTAAATAAAAAAATTGATTACACGCAACAGTACATGTCAGAGTTTGTTAATATTTATTTAAGCCGTGATTCCTGCTTCTCCTCACTTCGAATTTCCTTACATTACCTGTTATGTATGTGAAACGCGCGACGAATGTGTGTATGTGTTTTATCATCTCGCTTCAGTCTCGCTCGGAGAAGCGAGGATTGGGGAAAGGGTGTGGCGCGTATTCGCCTACCGCTGTCACATCTAAATATCTTCTTCATTTCTTCGCATTCGTCTCTCCATATTTTATTATAATTTACTTTTTATTATAATTTCTTTCAATATTTTATTATAATTTACTTTTATCGGCCATTCTCAATGTCTTTTACATTAATTTTCATCCACATTCTTGTACGCGCCGTTCTTATATGTTCAAGAATTGAATTATTGATATCTAATACTTTGATACAATGATGTATCTAATGTCTCGAAAATAAATAATGTATAATAATACCTTCGTTTCTTGTTTAGTACAAAAG